GATTCTCCTATACTGTTCCAACTAATATCTAACTCGGTCAGTGTGGTGTTCTTGCATAGTGACTCGGCTAGTACTTTTCCTGCCGATTCTCCTATATTGTTATATCGTAAATTCAAATTAATCAGTGTGGTATTCTTGCACAGCGCCTCAGCTAATGCTTTTCCTGCCAATTCTCCTAAATTATTATCCCATAAATTCAAATTAGTCAGCGTGTTATTCTTGCATAGTGCATCAGCTAGTACTTTTCCTGCAGATTCTCCTATTTTGTTTTCACTTATATTTAAATAATTCAGTGTGGTGTTCTCGCATAGTGCCTCGGATAGTGCTTTTCCTGCTGATTCTCCTATACTATTCCAACTAATATCTAACTCGGTCAGTGTGGTATTCTTGCATAGTGCCTCAGCTAGTGCTTTTCCTGTCGATTCTCCTATTTTGGTTTTGCTTATATTTAAATTAGTCAATGTGGTGTTCTTGCATAGTGCTTCGGCTAGTGCTTTTCCTGCCGATTCTCCTATTTTGTTTTCATTTATATTTAAATTAGTCAATGTAATATTCTTGCATAGTGCATTGGCTAATGCTTTTCCTGCCGGTTCTCCTAAATTATTATCACATAAATTCAAATTGATTAGTGTGTTATTCTTGCATAGTGCATCGGCTAGTGCTTTTCCTGCTGAATCTCCTATTTTGTTTTCACTTATATTTAAATAAGTTAGAGTAGTATTTTTGCATAGTGCCTCAGCTAGTGCTTTTCCTGCTGATTCTCCTATTTTGTTTTTGCTTAGATTTAAATTAGTCAGTGTAATATTCTTATATAGTGCCTCGGCTAGTACTTTTCCTGCCAATTCTCCTATGCTATTCCAACTAATATCTAACTCGATCAGTGTGGTATTCTTGCACAGTGCTTCGGCTAGTGCTTTTCCTGCTGATTCTCCTAAATTATTATCACATAAATTCAAATTGGTCAGCGTGTTATTCTTGCATAGTGCCTCAGCTAGTGCTTTTCCTGCAGATTCTCCTATTTTGTTTTCACTTATATTTAAATAAGTCAGAGTGATATTCTTACATAGTGCCTCAGCTAGTGATTTTCCTGCAGATTCTTTTATATTTTGACTGGAAAAATTTAACTTATTTTTGTAGCTTAATAACAATTCTGCTTTCTTTGGATCGATAACTAATAACCGTTTCCAGTAATAAGATAATATTGTAAAATTATCCAATTCATAACAAGACTTTCCTAAAATCAACAAAGTATCCGGATTATCCGGTTCAATTAAATCCGCTTGTTTGTGATATTTTAACGATTCATTATATTGTTCGAGTAAAAAGTAAATGTTTCCACATGTCACTAACGCCAATATATTGTCTGGCTCAAGAATTAAAGCATTCTCAATATCTTCCAGTGCTTTCTGAAATTTACCAAAATGTTGATAAAGTTGACTCCTATTTATGTAAGCAAATGACTTTTTGGGTTTTAATTCTATCGCGTTTGAGTAATCTTCAAGTGCCTTTGAATAAAGTTTAAGCTTTTCAGAGTGGTTTGCTCTTTTGCATCTAATTGAATAACTATGAGGATAGTTTTCTAGTGCACGTGTATACCACATTATTGCTTCCAAATTATTGTCTTGTTGTTCAGCTACAATTGCTTTATTATACGCTGAATCAAAATTCTTTGGTCGTATTTTGTAAAAAAATTTTTTTTTCAACTTATTGAATCCAGGCATTCCATAATGGTGTAACTTATTTAATTTTAAGAAAGTTTCGTCTTTAAATTCGTGTATAAAATTTGATGGTACGTGATTTAATTCATATGACGTATCCAAATAGCCTGCTTCTTCTAATCGTTTGTAAAGACCTTTAAGGGTAGCACTTTGAGAAATGTTAAATATAGATTCTTTGTCTATTAAAGTTCGACACAATGGACATTCGAATTCTTTATTTTCAATTTGCAAGATTGTTTTCCATTCATCAACTGCATATTTGCTAATTGAGTGTCCACAACCTAAAACATATAAATCTCCTGTAATTTCTTTCATTATCGGACAAGTTAATTCTTCAGCAATTAGTTTTAATAATTCCGAGTCTCCTTTTTTACTTTTACATTGAATAGAAACCATCTTTTCCTTTCCCTTTTTAGGCATAATTCGTCCAGCCACCCCCTTGCAGAAATTATTATCAATCTCAATTTTTTGTTTCACTCTGCTAGTTAACATATCGAAACTCATCTTATGAGCTTCCTTTTGATTTCTAAAGGACTCTATTCCAGCTTGAATTATTTCATTAAGTTGTTCCGGTTTCTTATGTGATAAGTTAAATAATAATTCTATAGCTTTATACTTTATAAAATTGCTAGGAAAGTTTTGCAAAGATTCGATACCAATATAGTAACATAGGGCCAAAACAATTTCCTGTGAAGTTTTGTTGCTTATATATTGCGCCAAATCAAGTACTCCGAATAATAATAAATTTGGTAAAGAAATTGACTTATTGCCACTGATTATGTTAATAAATATCGATTTATCATCTAAAATTTCATAGCTGTCTTGTGATAATTTAGAATATGCGTCAAATACGTACTGCCATATAATTTCTAAAAGCATTATCTCGCCATTTTCGCATAATATTTGATAACTTTCATCTTCAGTTGATGTGACCAAAATATTATTGATCGTTAGTATTTCACGCCAACTAATATACCAATCAGAAATAGAATATGAAAATAATGGTTTTTCTTCTTCAGCTGTATTTTGATCCACAATTCTAGGTATAATTTTTGCTAGAAATTGTTTTGCTAATCTAATAAATTTTGAAGAAGGATATGTCTCGTTTCTCATGTTGTGCAAAGTATCCCTTATATGAATAAGAAGAAAATTAATATTATAGTTGATGTATGTGTTATTTGAATTAATACTACCATAACCAAAATTATTTTGGATAGATTTTGATATATCATAATGAATCTCTGCAAATCTTATTAGTCCGTTGTATAGCTCTTCTCGAAATTTTGTTCCAATATCAATTTCAGAGTAATAAATCCTTTCTAAGACCGCGATGTAAGTTCTAAGATGTAATTCCATAAGAGAACTTGTGCTTTCATTATATAGCTTTCCAAGTGAGGAAATATCAGTTAGCTTTTCCAAAGCCTTCGTTAAAAATTCTGAAGAAATCTTGGTATTATAATTTTCTGCCAAAGCTTTAAGATTACTTAAATTCAAAGGCTTACTTAAATCTTCAATTAAAGTATAAGCTTGAACTTAATAGGATTTAGATTAAAGTTTTTTAGTCATTTAGGTGTAATTATTTAACATGAATTAATTAATAGAATGAGTTCATTAATAAATACCTATTGAACTTATTTCTTTTTTCCAAGTAATTACCCGATTTCGACCTTGTCTCTTGGCTTCATATAGAGCTTCATCGGCAATTTTTAATAATGCTTCCGAAGATTTTATTGATGAATTTAATTCTGTAACTCCAATACTAAGCGTAACTTTTAATTTCTTTTCTTCATAAGTAAATAAATGCATTTCAACCGAGGCTTTAATTATTTCTGCAATTTCAAATGCAGAATTAACACTAGTATTTCTAAGAAAAATACAAAATTCGTCTCCACCATAACGCACTAAAATATCTTCGGGACGAATATAGGATTTAATCAAAGTAGTTAATTCGCTCAAAACATAATCTCCTGATTCATGGCCATTTTCATCATTGATTTTTTTAAAGCAATCTATATCGAAAAATATAATGCTTGAATTTAAATCCATTTTGACTGTATTATTGACTTCGTCTTCTAAAATTTTCTCTAAATAGCCAATATTATAAACCTGAAATTTAGAATCCAACCTATTTTTATATTCATCAATGGGAAGATATTTTAACACCGTGTTCCCCAATTTAATTAAATCTTCTTTTACTAGGGTATTAGTAGCAGGATATCGAAGTTTATGACCATTAATAAATACTCCAGCTAATGAGTCCAAACCTTTTATAGAAACTTTTCCTTTGCAGTTCGTAATCTTGGCATGTTTCCGAGAGACTCCTTGATCTTTTATAATAATATGATTTAAGGAATCTCTCCCTAAGTTTATTTCAAATTGACTAAGAAAAAATTCTTTGTTTCGAGGCAATCCCTGAATAACTGTCAAGCAAGCCCATTCTTTCTCTGCTGACTTTAAATTATCTCCAGAATAAACTTCTGAAATGTAGTCAGAATTTTTGTATACATGTCTATAGTTAATATTCTCAAGATATTGATCTGCCTCCTCAACTAATATTCGTTTTTCGGGAACCTCATTCCATGCATCGCAGTAAATATCTTTATAATCTACCGGTGTTCCATCGATAGGATTTTCTCTAACTCCAGATATGAGCTTATTCTTTAAAACTGTAGTGTCACATCCGAACATATTTTTAAATGGGGGAATTCCGCTAGATATTTCCCATAATAGAACTCCAAGACTATAAATATCTAATGGTTTGTCTTTTTTATAATTAATTGGTGACATAAGAAGTTGTGGATCCACATAAGCAAACATCTCGGGATCATAATATTCTTCGAGAGTTTCAAGGAATTCGTGCGATCTTTCAAGAGATATAGAAAAATCGAACCCTGTAATTATTAATTTATCATCGTATACCATAATGCTTTTAGAGTTCTATTGAGATTAATAGTTAGTAAAGAGGTAATTTAACATTTTATACACATTAACAGATACTTACCAAATTACAATGAATAATATTTGCACGGTGAATATAGTTTAAGCCGTTAGTAATATCTTTTGCCATTTTTATTTTAGTAGGCCAACTTAATTCAATAAACCTTTGCTGCAAATATGTTCTAAGATCTTCCTCATATACATATTGAAGTATCATATAATAAAATTTTAGCGAGGGATCTAGGCAATAAATAAATTAATGTGAACTTAGTCGGTTTTTTATAAATATAAAATCGTAAAACAGAAGATTCAAAATGAGATATACCTTTACTTATTCCTAAAAATCTAATTACATTTTCGTTGTTGACCATGTTTAACTTGGTTAAAATTTGCACCTGTTTTTAGTAATTGAGGCAAATTTAATTATATGTACAACTAAAAAAAAATTAATAGCAATAGAGAATACCTCTCTGATAAAATTTCTATGGCATTTATCTTCACTTTTATGTCCATCATCTTTTAGATATTTAAGAGCAATGTTCCTGTTAAATTCAGTTTGATAAGCCTTTTTGATACAGCTTAACGATGTTATCAAAAAAGGCTCGACTTTCTTAAGCGAATCATAATTAACTTCTGTTATGATTCCATTATCGATAGCATAATCGAACCATTTTAAGGGGTTCATATTTTTATCAAAGTTTTAACAAAGAATTCGTATGAAAAATACCTGGTACGTAATCTTAATCTATATGTAAACTAGGTGATACAAAAAATCATAATGTTACGCAATATTCTATAATTTAAGTAATGTAACGGGCATCTGTCACAGAAATTCTTGTAACCGTTACAATGAGATTTAATTTTAATTTAATTTTTTATATAGGATGAATAAGGCGGTTTGAACTTGACTGAGTTTCCACTATTAAATTTAAATTTTTAGACTCTTTTACAACAACTAAATAAATAAAAGAATGACAACAAACTGATAGAACGATACATTATGTAATATTTTCGCATTACTATCATTCAAACCTTGAATTATTATCTATTTATTTGGCATATCATTATGGTAGCACATGGCTAATCAAAATTAATTTAGCGATATTGATTTTGTTACACAAAAGTAAATCGATTTTGATTACAGTACTGTATTAATAAGTACAGATTTAAAAAATTCTTACAAACTTTACTAAACGTTTCTTTTTTCTGTTAGTCCAAATTATTTTTAAGAACTATTTTAAAGTAATTACGTTCGTTTTTTGCAAATTCTTTGAAAATATTTTAATATAATAATTATTTATAAAATTTTTCTATTAATTATAGGTTTTAAAACGTTAACGCAAAAAATAATAATTTAAACATTCACGGTTAAAAAATTGAAAAGGATTTTCACTTGAACTATTTGAAAATTAACAATATCAGATATATCATCAAATATATTAAATATAAAATTAGAACTATAATTAATAGGATACTTTTGTAGCTTATTTTAAATTATTTGATATCTTTTTATTCAAATTTTGACAAGTTGCATAACTTCTTAACTATAGTTTTAAATTTTTCTTTAATATATCTCTTCTAAAAATATATTATTAACAATTTATTTGCAAATATAAGAAACTTATTTAAAAAAACTGCTTGATCTTTCAAAAAACTTTAAAAATATTCTTAAAAAAAACTCTTTTTCATTTCCTTTAATTTTTTTAAGAAACTATTTTTTTAGGAAATTTTAACAAGATATATCATGAAGACTTATCAAGTTATATTTTCTTCTAAAGAAACTTTTTCTTTTTTTATTACTATCAAAGATAAAAACTCTTTCCTAAAGCAAACTTATCAATTAATCTTGCCTAAAACTGATATTTTTCTTCTTCAAAATGAAAAGTTATCTCTGTTAACACCAATATAGCATTTCTCCTATATTTTAAGTCATACTATATATGAGTCAACTTTAAGAGTTTGATTGAAAAGATTCAAGCTACAGAAGAATGAAACCCTTGATTGGATTCTTCAAGACTTGAGATATTTTGCTGATGAAATTTATATGAAAAAAGGCCTTTGGTTTATTATCTTTTTTGCTCATATAAAATTTTTTCAACAAAAACCAAAATCAATTTACTTTCATCAAATAATTGATATTATTTCTCAATTAATTATATTTTATTAAAATCATATTATATAATACTATAATAATAATATTAATAATAGCAATAACTTATCATATATTGATTTTAAATAAACAACTTTAAAGAAATCAATAATATGAATATTAATATATAGTACTATTATTACTTTTAAACAATTTACCAAATATGTAAATGTTATATTCTATTTGATAAATGACCTACCCGGTCATAGTCCAGTGGGCTAAGGCAAGGTAGGACTAACCTATGATCCACGATTCAATCCCAGCTAAAGGACAATTCACATATCTCAAACAAGAGACTTTGTGTCACTGCCCCTATAACTCATAATAGAGAGCAATTTGAATTGTTCTGGTAATTAAGGAGCCTTATGGATAGACTATATCCCATTGGTCAAAAAGATAGATAATCTGATTAATAAACTTTCTGATCAAGTATTGCCTGGGAAATACCTCCAAAAGGGGGAAGAAGTTTCATGGGATCTTTCCGGTAATGGAAAGAAAGGTACAGATGAATAAAACTATGGTCCCGAAAATTGAAATCGCATAGACTCGCATGGACTCGCATACATATAAAAAACATATGTGGGTTATAACCCACCTATTAAATTTACTAT